GTGTGTGTGTGTGTGTGTTGTTGTGTGTGTGTGTGTGTGTGTGTGTGTGTGTGTGTGTGTGTGTGTGTGTGTGTATGGCAATTAGTATAAAATTCTGTAATTCAAATATATTCACTTTTCCTGTATGGCTTATACATCATTTGAGCAAGTTATCGAGCATATTCTTGTTTATGTAATATTTTTGTATAACTGTGTGCCAAGTACGCTCGTGTTTCACTCTATATACATTCTATCCAGCAATTAGGCACGCGCCTTAAGATATACACTCATAGCAAGCGGGTTGGCGTATACTGCTGGATCTTGTGCGTTCGCCAACAACAAGCGTGACAAATCGTAAGACACACTTATCACAGCAGCTCATTTCAATTTCTCCACTAGTATGTACCAAAATCGAACGCCGACTATGTAACAGTATCGGTCACAATCAGGTTGTTTACTCATTTGGTGGTTTCAAACTTCGGCATTCAATTGTAAGACATTTTCATACCTGTATCATCCACCGCGGACGGCCCTGCCGCCACGTTAGTAGCCGCATCAACCCAGCTAGAAAACATGGTCTTATGTCTACAACTTTTTCGACAGCTATAAGTATGTGTATATGTGTACTGTACTTTATATAATATAAATCAAAATATGTAGTGCTCGTATGGTAATAAGTCTTTGTGTATTAAGAAAAGTACGTCAAGAGACACATAATTTATGTCGCCGAGCTTTGTTGTGATTGTGTACATAAATATTTCATTTTCAAGAGACAAAAGCCATAGCCCTGAATAATCAACAACAGCATCGTTTGAAAAACACAAGAGAAGAGAAGCATTTCAGGGTTTCTAAACCAATTTGTTTATTTTGTTTTTCTGTTTTTGTATGTATTTATCAATTAAAAATGTACATTGAAGGGCAAAATTGAAATACATGCATTTTTATTATGTACGTATGTATATATTTATGTCATACAAAGTGCTTTTCGCCGATTTGCCCGCATTAACTACGTCGACCACACGTTGCAAACCTATTCCATATTCTCACGAGCTCAACGTACTGGCAAGATACTTGTCAAATACATACATCCATGGCGTACTGCTGTATATATCCTTCCGATAAATTTATTGGTTTCCACGTAGTTTTCTATATATTGCTTCCCTTCGTGCAGGAATATTCATCCCAGTAGGTCTACTAGACTACGTACCAGTGTCCGTAACAAGCTTTCAATGGCAGTCGCTATGCGGCAGATGCAAAATACTACCCAATAGTCACGCCTGCTCGTAGTTATTCTCCTATTTTCCATGGCATTATATCGCACTGCTGGGACTTGAGCCTTCCGTCGTTTCTCGAAATCTACATTTAGCCCACAGGATTCCCAGTATAAGGTTAACGCCTGTATACATACGGTGCTGAATGCCTGATAGGAGTATTCGAAACAGTCGGACTCGTACCTATTAAGACGAAAAGAAACTTTAAATTTGTATCATTACGGAAACTTGCTTCATGTCAAAATCGTAGCATTTCCTGCCGTTGGAAAGGCGTATGCGAATGCTTAAGGACAACTTTCACAACAATCCTGCCTTTTTTTTTGTCAAACCCCCGTTAACGAACTGGTTATCACATATATTGTTGACTTTGAACGGAAACACAATTATGTATGTGAAGAGATCGGCTTTTATACAGATGCACCTAACGGTGTAGATAATGTATGCAATCCACTAACTCTGCCATGGGAAATACGAAATCAGAAATTTGCAAATTGGTAGAGGACATATAATGATCAATCAACAGGTTCGTGTCTGCCACTGCTAGATAATATATAAATTTGTTATCAAGAGAATTTGATACTATCTGATGTCTGTATGTGTCGTTCGAACTATACGTGGACAATACAACCTGTACGTATACTCAGACTAACCAATACGATAGAGTCCCATATGAAAAAGGTATGAAACATTCCAACAGAAGCACTCAATCTTTGGACGTAGTTTTTGGAACAGAGTGAGTCTCTCTTTCATTGCCATCGTCACCAGATTGTGTCCAGACACCATTAATATGACTGAAACACGGACAATGTAGGTGTGAATACCTTATTTTTCTACGCGATCTATCACCAGCTGCGTGGCAATTCATGGAAGAAATACTATAAATTTCAGTGCAGACAAATATATACAGATGTATGAATATCCACCTAAGTCACAAGCATCCGTGTCGAGCACATACCATGCTTCAGGTGATAGGATTTCGGGGCAAAAGGTCATGCGCTCAGTCTCACAGGCATCTAAGACCCCACGTTTGCTGTGTGTCTGCTGATATTTATCGAATAGGCGTCGGCACTGCTGCGACAACATATTCCGATTTGCCACAAAACATGGGGCAGTGAAAAGGACTGATCTTGTTGTTTGTGTATCTACAGGCATATCTGAACAGTACCTCGTTTTATCTCTGTTACACACAGTGATTGCGTGCTCGTGTAAACCCGAGAGAATCGTTAAAGTCGCGACAGGTACCACTTTGCCATCCGTGTACGAAATAAATTCTTTATACCTGGCCTGACATTTGACCGAGGCCAGAAACCATCTGTCGGTGAAACATGGTGCCGTAAATAGGCGCGACAAAGTTTGCACTTTGAACCCTTTACACATACTTATAGCCTCATCATCACAATCATATACATGACTGTTGAGCTCTTTTCTTTTTGAGGCACTATTGTGTATAGGATATGTAATCTCCATCTCGATGGGCTCGTTCTTGTGACCGGTCCTGCTTGACCTCCCATCGAGCAAATACATCTCATAGGTATTTTTACAAGCTACCGAGAGATGCTCAATATTTGATGTGAAGCATGCTAATGATAACAGGAAATGAATGGAAGCGGATTTATGTCTTGAACAAAATCCTCTAGCCTCCTGAGTACAAGTGCTATAGTCTAGAGATCGATTAAGATACTTTTTCTTTTGGAATGTGATATGTTTGTTGGATAGGTTGTTTTTTTTGCGCCTCGTATACTTATCGAACAATTGCCGACAATTGATTGAAGCTTTATCTTTTTGGCTGATGAAGCATGGCGCCTGAAAGATCACAGAGTGGGTGTATGGTGGGGGTAAATTCCCACACAACTTCTGCAAATCGTAGTCACATTCTTCGTATAAAATAAGGTCTTCATAATCGCGAAAGTTATGCCCTGTCGCACATGATATACAACTTCCAAATACCAAAACTATCAAAGCTGCGACTACTTTCATGATAGCTGTTGTTGTTGTATACTTATCGTGGTATTAAAGTGCAGCAGGTCAGAATTGGCAGTTCTGTAGAGCGATTCGGCGGAATATGTATCATAAATACGAAAAGTCGATTCATAAATGAGAACTTGAGAAGATTTTTCAAAAACAAAATATATATATAAATTTTAGCGATATGTATATGAGTTGCTCTTTGTAGACTGATTAAATTATAAACCCAATCACATTGAAGGTTGCATTGTTCAATTTTCAGAAGGCTATGGTTGCATTGGTTGGGAAGTTTACAACTTCGTAATACATACTTTTTTTTATTACTATTTTCTTTTCAATAGAGGCTCAAGAGAGGCTGTTGTCAGAATTTTAATTGACCTGTCGATACAAGCTCATACGCACTACTATCGATATTGCATATGCACAAGCCGGGGTTGTATGGGAATATATGAGGTAGTTAATAATTTTCTCAATGTACGGCTCTTCGAATCATTTGCACGTACGTGTCGGAATATTTCTCTGCCGATTTCTGCCAAGAGTGCTCTCCCACCCACTTGCACACAGGAAGCACAGTCGAGCTCGAAAATTCAAGGTCCGTAAGTTCTCGAAGACGATGCAGCTCGCGTGAATAATGAAGAAGAGGACTTCGACAATATAGGGGGAAGAGTTCAAGAACTTTTGTTGATAGCGAGAGTTAGATAAAAAAAGAGAGCGCAGAATATATACAAGTCTTCACTCTTCCATTTCTTTGGGTCCACCTTCATCGACCACGGCCATTTCGCATTGTGCGTCCGCTGTAAATGTACTATTGTCTACAGCGGTTGTATCAGCCAGTGGTGTGAGCGTATTATTACTAAGTAGTGTGTCCACATTTGGTGTAATACTATTCGTAACAGTCGTCGGTACCCAAACGGCCGCAGGCGTGCGGTTGCCCTGCTCAGGCACCTGCATGCAATAGTGAGAATAATAAAAACTTACCATTTGAAGATTATTATGATTTGATAGGTATACAAACTTTAAAAACCTTCATTGGCATGACTGCTATAATGATACCAAAAGGTTAATTTCTAAAGACGCAGGAGGCTCATTGTCGAAAGTAAAGCAGCAGACCACATAGCCCCTGCGTAGGAACCACGCACGCAGAAAACGAATGGGTTCCTGAGACTCGGCGACAAAATTGCAGTGTGCGTTGAGAATAAATGAACTACTTGTACAGCGTGACGACGCCTATCTACTAGTCTAGTCAATTGGCCTGAATAGTATCAAGCACCGATAAGAGGATCGCGCAGACAAGTGATGTATAGATACGATCACGTAAACCTCGTACTAACGCTACCTGACTCATTCCTGACGTAGAGACGTCCGGTGTTGTTGACACTGGTACCATACTGTTTACCCTAACCAGCTGCGAGTGGAGTAATATAGTACGTGAGTAAAGAAAACTACGTCGGAATGCATATAAAATACCCTTGATTTAGTTCCTCATCAAGAACTTTTTTTTCTGTCCCTGTGTGCCTCTTAATATTCTAGGTCTATTCTCGTTATAGCTTTAAGTATCGCAAAATCCGATCAATGAAAGGTACGATTCGGCGTCGGAAAGTAAGCCTCGTGATACGAAACAAAAACTTAGAACTAACCCGAACCCTGAGGGGGGATGGCGAAGGTATGTGGCTATATGCAGGTGGTGAACATTAACATCGTCGACTGACCAAACGAGAGCACAAGGAAATGCACGAGTCATTCTGATAACTTGTTCAATATAATCCACTACCAATAACGTAGAAGTATGGGCGCCGATGTAAGCTCACCTTCTCAAACCCTCGTAAAAACTTGAGGGGGTCTTTATAATAACGATCCGGCTCGCATAGCAATTCACATATCCTTTGTATCGTGAACGGGGCGCTGTCAGTGACACGAGTGTGCGTGAGTACGTTATGAGTAGCCACACGTGTTCGTGTACAATGAAAAGAAGTAAGTCTGCTAATTAAGAAAAAAGAAATCTAGCACAATTCCGTCTCATTCTCTAAGCTTAACCGCGGAGAAATTATCGTTACAATCTCGTTACAACCAAGGCGGTCGGGGCAAATTTTCATCATTATTTGAAACAGTGGTTACACCGCAAAACGAATGGAATGAGTAGATAAAAAATCAAAAAGGAGTTAACATTTGAGCAGAAATAGGTCTACAGGACGAGTGTCTAGTCATTTAACTAATCACACTTTCAGCCTTCATAGGTATTTACATATGAAACACATGTTCATTTTCGGAACGATATGATATGGGGATAAGTTAGATACATTGATACATACTTTGTAAACAAGCATAATGGGCCTTCGATTGTATTCATGGCTTCAGCAACATCTCTCGGATTGTCACCTTGTAACTTCAACACAACCTGTCCGTGATGATTCGGAATAACTATTAATGACTTCGAAATGAATCTACAAATTCAATGTGGTATGCAAAACCATGATAAATGCGACACAAGGCGTGGCGGTGAGAGATGTGTAAAAATCCTGACAACCACATGATAAAACTGGCAAATGAAACTCTTCAAACGATAAGGGCACACAAACTCCGTATTGAAAGCACACATATTCTCACTCCTTGTTAAACTATCCTAAAAGAATATATGCATATACGTTAGTGTGTATGTCTTTATGCAAAACTCTCTCAAACACACAAAACACCCACACAAACACCATCAAAAACACACACAAACACACACAC